TGTCCTGAGCCAAGCATGTGTACCTATATCTTTCTCTCAAAACAAAGTCTTTTAGGTTAGTCAGACTTTCAAACATTTTGATCAGGCAATATATATGTAATAACATGCTAAAAACAGACTCAAAAGGGCTAGAAATTGCAGAAACAAAGTTCTTGCTGATCATGACAATGCACTGCGTTAAAACTGAACTTCACAATAAAAGACTTTTAACTGCCAGATGTGGAAACTGCTTTTCACTTCTAGAGCAGGGTACTCTTACAAACACTTATGTACTCTCACATATATGAAACAGTTCTGAAACAGTATTTGCAAACTAGTTCAGATTCCAGACAGAGTATAGGTGCATTCACATAGCACTCCAACTGAGATTTAAAACCCTAAATCAAACAACCCCATTCCAGAAGCTTAGAAGGACACATACAACTACCAAAATCACCATTTGAAGTATCAAAACTAAGTGGATAGAAATTTATTGCTTGGAATTTTATAATTCAGATTTGCCTCCTCAAAACAAAAGATTTTCCCCAATTATTCCATGTTTGCCTACATGCATATTACTGGGCTTCGCAATGACATTACTGAATGTACATGCAAGGAAATGCATGAAAAGCAGATGATGAATCACAAAAAAGAACTCTGCAAACAACAGGAATATGTATTGCACTTCTCATGTAACTATTTTAGAGTGTCCTCTATTCTATTAAAACATCTTTCTGCTTTCTGAAAAGGCAGATGATTATTAATTCTACAAATATGCTGCAATTGCTTTTGACATGTGCTTCCTTAGCCATGGCAGAAGAATGCGAGAAGAAATCAATGAGAAAAAATTGCTGGGTAGAGTGAAGCTGCCTTAGGGATTTTGTTTTATGTAATACAACAGACTAGGAATTCTATTTATAAGGAAGACATGGTATTTATATCTATTGATTTTTCAGGGACCTCTTGCAGTCTGCAGCCTTAAAATTTCACCTGTCCTAGAAGGGAACACATCTTTAGTAAACTCTTGGTGTTCTTCAATGCCACTATGCTTACAGAACAGTAAATATGGTGTAAAAGAGGTGAAACAGACTTTATGCTCCCTTTGCAAGACTATAAAATTTACTTTATTATTGTACATTTAAGTTTGAGTACTCACTTGGAGACTGGAGTTTCACATTAGGGAATCTGAATGAATGACCAAAACCACATCAATTATGACAGCTTATTCCTAAAACCATTTAAATTGTCACCCAGATGTTAGTATAGTTCAGAGTGGTCTCAGAACCTCCACGAACTTTCAAGTGTCAGATCTCCTAGCAAGGGATTATCAAACAACAGACAATCTCTGGAAATACATTCTTCTTCTTGCTTATATAGACTATGCCAGGAATGAATAAACTCAAGGGAAAAAGACCAAGAGAAGCTTTGTCTCTACTATCCTTTATCTCCCATCTCACCCCATTCCAAGGGGTCAACTGATACTTCATGCTGCAAAACATTTATACTGTTGTGGACAGTAAAAGCTGGGATACAGTTACACATCAGTCAGTTATCATCCCACTGAAAGATATTGACAGGGAATGTTTTGCAAGACAACTGAGCAGTATGTGTACAAACCATGGCACACTTAATAAACAAGTAGTATAATCCCTTCTGAAGATCCATTCTAACCTGTTTTTAACTCCAAACTTCTTTAGTATATAGTAAATAATGTGTCAGTATAATACAAAGCAAGACAAAACTGTTTTATCCATATTTTATGTCTTGATTAGCACAGCTTTTCCTGTACCTAGGCCAGCTGGTACAATATGTACTGTCTTCTATATTTTGTTGCTGTTTTCTAGTATTAAATATGTCAAAACTTTATAGGTAAGCAATAGAAGTGAGTAACATGAGTCTGATGCATAGTAATGAAGGTAGAACAGTATATAATGGTAATATCTTAGTAAATCAATTAACATGTTTATGGCTAATGATAAAAATATGAAGATTAGGCAAGAGGGTGGTCAGTGAGTGGTACCACAACAAGGCTTTAGGCGAACACTATTCATAACCATTGAAAGGATATCTGCATGCTACTTTACAAGACAACACCTCTCTTGTTCTACTTCTTTGCCTGAAAGCCTGAATAGACAGCAGTGCCTGACTGCAGAGGGTACATATGGGGATGCTTAAATTTACACCTCTCTCCTCATCTTTTTGGTACAGTTCTGTATAGGTATTTACCATGCTGCTTCTGGGCCCCATATGTTGGTGTTTCCAAATTTCCTGAGACAAAGCAAAATCCACCATCTTTTAACTTTCCCAAAGGCCCTTTCAGCAAGTTATGAGTACTCTCGCAGAGACTCACATTTAGTTTTGATACTAATAGCAATGAGTTTGCAAAAGAAATTCTAGTTTATCATTTCATGTATCAGTGAAAGAAATCGAGGAAACCAAAATGTTTGCATACTAGCCTGGCTCAGTCACCTGTTCATTTTTCAATGTTCCTTCAGATTTGGTCAGAGTCCTTACACGTTTGGGACTGGTTCCCACAGTTATCTGTCTGAATTAAGGAACATTTCCTTCAGCCTCTGGTGGCCAGCTTATTCTCTGTTCAGCTTCTCCAGCCTCTCCTTTTCTCAAATGGCTGCTGAAAACCCTTTTGATTTACTGTCTTGATTTTCTCTTGAAAAAATATCCTTCCTCCCTCCCTTGATCCACCTCGTCAGTTAATCAAAATCCTCATATACTTAACAGCTGTTATCTTATATCTACCCTTATACGCTAGTTCAGATGTGAATAATCAATTTGTCCTGTGCAGTTGGCAACTATTTTTCTACAAAGGCATTTGGGTGAATAACAGATCGTTGATGTCAGATGTAACTTCCACTATCAGTAATATGAACTTTACCCAAAGACAGAGGTTCAAATACCCCAAAACAGACTCTGCATAACCAAAGTACAGCTTAAAGAATGACACAGATATTCATTGAGAATCTCCAAATTCACATTACCTTCCTTATGTCTTTGCTTACCAGCTTCAACAAGGAATGTATCTCTAATCAAAGTTTCACAGGTAAGTACTGCAAGAAACCTTTTCAGCCTTTATTTGAATGGACAATAGGGACATTCATTTGGGCCTTGCTTTGAGCCTGTAAGTCATTGTATACACTCATGAGGGAACACTGAGCTCTGAAATGGATGTTCCTGGATTCCATAAAAATTAGTGGAAGGCCTTTGCACTAAAAAAGGTCAGGTTTTGTCTGGGAAAAACCACATCATAGTTTAAGAATAGGAAACACTCAGAGTGACTACCTAAACTAGAGTGAAAATAAATAGCTTTCCTAACTGACTCGATGTCCTTGCAGGCAGATCTTTACCTTCAGCCACCTTTATCATCATCAGCTGACTTCAGTGCTAGGACCCTCACCACAGCAAGTCTTCTGTGACAAATATTCCTTGAGGTTATCATTTATCAAGGTGCAAAGAAAGATTCAAAGCATGTGTTTTCACCCTCTTCCATTACAGATTCTGAGGAAAGGCCTTAAAGTTATCAAAATTTGGCTTACAGACCAGCCTCCTGCTTCTCAATTCAGCCTCAGTGAATTGTATCCCCTAATGCTCAAAACATCACATAATTCAAAACAAAGCTTGAGGTTAAACTCAAGGCTGCAGATCTGATCACTAGCAAGCACAGCACAGGGTCTGTAAAAGGAAACAGAGCAGTTTGCTAAACCAGGCAATATATCAATCCTTTATGCTGTGTACACTTTATTTACAGGGCATTTGCAGATTCAGAATGATAATGAAAGAAGCTGCAAAACACAGTGTGATTTTCATCACTTCAAGACAGAGAGCAGAATAAAAATTATTTGTGATTTTATCTCTTTTAACCAATCCCTAATAGTTGATCCTGAGGCATTCCTTTTTGTTTATTCAGTCTCATTTCTTATTACTTTCCCAGATTCTGCTTTATTTTATAGCCCTATGTCTGCTCAATGAATTTGGGTAGTACTCTGTTTTACATGCACCACTGCATGGACAGATAGGAAGTTTTACCAAGGTCGACAGATGCTAACCTACTCAAAGAAGACAAGTTACTATGACTTCCTAGTTCAGCAAACTATTCTTCTTCCATGGTATCATTTTGGGCAACATCAAAACTGCGATAAAAAGTGCATTTTCCACAAGAAAGACAACAGCAAGAGCATGATAATATTTTACAAATACAGATACTTTCTCTTCTCTTATAGTCTTCATGGAATTCAGCAATAATACCAACCATGGAAAGAGTCACGTAGTACAAACACCAGTTAGTCACTCTGATCTAACATTTAATAGGTTGTTTTATATATAGATTTCTCTCTATGTACATCTATTTCCCTGAAAGCTTGGTTCTTGTAAAGTACTTGCTTTTTCTACTGCCAAAAAAAATCACCCATCCATATGATATGATCTCTTAGCAAAAAACATTTTCAAGTGTCATCTGATTTTGATTTCCATAAATCCACTATTAATTGCGCATTCCCTTTGCTTAAAAGCAATTTTATGTGTAAACAAAAATATTTCTATATTCATAGCGTATCTTAACATGCATAAGCAATACCACTGCAGTGTCGAAAACTGGCCATTCTATCTCTCTCCCTCCTTTTTCTATAAAGAAAATATTAATATGATAATGAATGGTTTGCTTAAGATCCTGCTCATTTTTGCTGAGTGCTAGGAGAAGAAAGTCAAAGTGCATTTGGATTTTCATTTTCACAGTTCAATTTCTTACTGCAACTGCTCAGCAGCTTCTTAAACCAAATAAAGCGAAGAATTCTGGAATGGACATATTCTATGTGATGAAGTCATCATTCCTAAGACATAGTTCTATATTTAAATTGTTTATTGAGCTACAGTATTCCACTCTGGTGTGAAGAACAATTCAGTTGCCGGTGGACAAGAAAAAAAACACCCCCCACATTTCCCCCCTCATCTTAGCATTTTAAAATATCAATTATTTCCCACATCACTTGAAGAAAAATGTATGTTCTTACCCCACAGCCTATTCCGTTGCCTGGTTCGCACACAATTTTCCTCAGCCCTGGTTCAGGAAGCAAACCTGCTCCACAGCCAGGAGTTGGGCACAGCACTCCTCCCATCTGCAGAACACATTCCTCGGCCCCATAGCGCTGGTAGCGGTTGTACTACAACACAAAGGCTGGTGTTAAACTTCTAATAGCACATAAAATAAAACCCCAAAACATTGAGCTTGATTCTATCCCACATAATTGAGTCAACTGTCCTAAAGGTCTCAGATGCTAAGTTCAGGTTATTTGTCAAAAATCTAAAACCTCGCAGTGTTGTTAAATGGGGTAACACTCCACTCCAACTCACACAATATGCACTGTTTTTTGGCTCACAGATGTCATTTTCACCACTAGAATATTGTGGGGGATATTAAAATAAAGAAACCAGCAGTTTCTGTTAGTAACCTCAAGTACCCTTATATTATTCTAAAAAATCATTGTAAACATCATAAAAACAGTCCAACAGATAACTGATAAATGCTGTACACATATTGAAAAACCCCTCAGGGATCTATTGCTAGAAGTGCAGTTTAATGTTTTAGACTTAAAGAGCTGCAAAAATTTGCTTAGCCAACTTTATTTTTAAACTGATTAGCAAAAAAAAATAAATCTCTGATATAGATTTATTTCAATGTTCGGTATATTTTTTTCCAGGCTCTCCCATGAAATTTTCTTAATTTCAGCACTTTTCATCTCATTCCATCCTGATAGCCTAAAAGGCTATGGAAAGGCCTTCCTTTTAATGATGGAGACACTGGCAAACAACACTATTAAAGTAGCATGCTCAGCATATCCTCATTGACAAAAATGCTCGCTCTAAAATGATTGATGCCACTGCAGTAACTTTCCCATGTCTAATTTACCCTGCTTTCAGCCAGAGATAAGCTGCACAAGTACAAATCGTGCTGCATACATGTAAATCACATCCACTCCAGGGTTCTGCATTGGTGCAGTTCCACACTAGTGGCTATATAACCACTGTAAACCAGGCTTCAGATTCGCCTATAAATCTGCTCTATTGTAGAGGGAAATAAATGAAAGCATTTGGTCCTAACAGCCCCAAAGAAAACAGTCAAATCCAAAAGGCCAAAGAGGAAGGGAGAAGGTATGAATTTTCTCCAGGAGCAGACTTTATGGTGTGCTAAAGGAACAAAACAGAGCTTTATGTTACAGCACTCACAACAGTATTTAGTGCTTCATAAGCTTTTATCCCATAACTGCTCATGAAAATCTTGTTCCCTTTTTTGGGGTAGCAACAAAGAAAAATTTTTTTCTCCAATCCTCACCCCTCTATAAAGATATCCCAGGAGGAAAATGGAAGCTTTAGGACCAAAACCTCATACACAAAGCATACAAAGAAGAATTTTAACTCACAAAGATTACATGTCTTCTAGGTACATTTAAGAAGATTCTTCCTCAAATGTTGCCATAATGTGTCTTGTTACATTGGCTTTTTAAAACTAATATGAGAGTTCTTAAATGGCTATAGTATACAGACACAAAAGTTTGCATCATGTAAAGAAAAGTTATCAAACTTAAAGTACCCACCTTTGTTGCTTAACAAGAAATACAAACAAACTTTCTTTCAAAAGAAAAGCAAAATCTAAAGGGAGAAAAAGACTTTGAAATATTACTCAATTTATGAACAATAGCCAGACATCCTGAATTAAGAATCTGGAATTTGGAAAATAATAGCATTTTGAGAAACATACAAGACACATCTGCAAATTCTCCTATAATATAAGGGCTCAAGAAGTCAACTATGCTATTATTATGCTTGACCTTAGAATAATGGCATAAATATTTAATGTTGGACACTCTCAGTTTTCAGCAAAGTTTGTGATCCTTGCACTAAATACATGCTAAATGCTCTGAGTTTTCTGCTGGCCTCAAACAGAAATACAGGTAACCACAGCTGCAAAACTCTCTGGTGACCTAATTGTTTTTCAGACCAGAGACTGGACCTGAAGGTGAGGATGATTGTCTTACCCTGTTAAGAGGGGACATTTTGCTGGATGTGGGATTGTTAGCAGCTTCTCATTATGAAGGCAAACACCAGTGACACTGTCACTGAGATTCTGTCAGCATTTCCATTAAAAGTTCTCAGCTGAAAAAAAATATCCTTTCCAGCCAATTACATAAAATGGCATGGAGAGATTCCTCCCATCTCCTCTCAATTTATTTATTTATTTATTTTTGATAATCCAAAGTGTATCAAATAGGAATCAATTTGTCTTGTTAGAGAAAGATACAGAGAGAAAATGTCCAGCTTACCACCTGGCAAGGTGGACAAAGCCATTGCATTCTGTCCAAAAATTTGACATTTTATACTTGTTCAGCACAGGACTCATGCCAAATCAGTATGGCAACCTCACCAGTAATTTTCACACTGTAAAACCAAAAAGAAGAATCCAATTTGAAGACAGAAAAGATCCTACCAAACGCATTTGCACATTTAGACATCTAGTTTGCAGCCCATTTTCTGCCTTCAAAGTCCAGATACATTTGTATTTTCCAATTACTTTTTCCTTGTGCCTTGCTCACTTAAAGGCCAGTAACCAACTGAAACGTGAAGTAGTAGAACATATACATGTTTGCTTCTGTGACACAATCATACACAACATATGTGGATTTATATTCTTTATTCAGTGGCCTGAAACAAAATGACTCACTTTACATTAATGGTGCATTTATAAAAGACTTATAAAGGACCAAAACACTTATTCATGTGCATTTATAAAAGACTTATAAAGGACCGAAACACTTATTCATGAATTATTAATTAACTATTTGCATATAGTGACAGCTCATATCCATTAGAAGCATTTTTGCCTGTATATCACAGCCATACATATCACACAGGACTGATGCAATCAGCATGCATTAAGCAAGCCAATTTTTAAGAGCCCTTAAATGTTTTTGGAGCCCATGATGTATTTTTGATCACGCGTCTGGATGTGATATTTAAGGATATTACAGCAGACAACCACCACTGGTTTACTTTGCCTCTTAAATGGAGATCTAAAGTAGGATTAATTTAATTTAGTTTGGATTTCTGCAGTGATGATGCCTGTAGTGCATTGGTTGCTTAAACTCCTTTTACAATTAACAAGAGAGATAGGATGCAATTCATCTTTTTTCTTTGGGGTTTTTACATCAGCATGAGAAGAACTGAGCCCTGAAGTGCCCTGTTCTATTAACAATAATGAGAGATCAGACAACTGAAATTAGGTGACTCTCACAAAAGCTGCTTCAGTTCCAATAATTCTGATCCTAAGTCACCTGGCCTAACCTATTTTTAAAACCAAGGTTGAGGCATCTAAACAGCTTAGACTGTGAACCACCTCAGAATTTTAACTCATCAAAAATTAAACATCTGACCTAAACAAGTCATATAGGCACCAAATGAATAAGAAAGAAGATCTCAAGAAGGGAATTTATCCTGACTTACATATGTCTAAGATAAGTAGGATGAATTGCCCTGTGGAAGGGTTATAGTTGAAGCTATATAGAGAAAACTAACTTAGGCTAGACATCCAACATGTAAAGAGCCATCCTTAAAAGATGAATCTGACTCTTCTGTACATTCAAAGTATTTCACAATATCTGTTACTCAGTTTTTATCAATATGCCTCCTACTTAGAGATGCACTCATCGTGCATAAAATGGTTCTGCATGCTACAAGGAGTAAAAATATATCCAATTATTTTTTAGGCAAAACCTCTCACAAAGTTAATATATGGGGAACTTGATGGAACTGGCATTCATGGCACCTGATTTCATTCCTGGCAGCAGCACAGCCTTCCTGTGTCTCACGTAAGTCACTTAATCTATGCTTCTCATCAGTTTCCCATTTCTAAAGAGGAAGAATGATACTTGCTGATTTCACTGTAGTGTTAAGAGGTAAAATCCATTAATAGTCATGAGGACATCAAATACTATGGTAATGAGTGGCATAAAATTACACAGAAATCACCAGTCATCTACTGCTGCCAGAAAGCAGCTTTTGTGCAAAGCATGTCAGGCATTTATGTGCTACTCTAATAAGGTCCTCAGAAATACAGGTAGGTAAATAGTTGCTGGATTCACCACAAACCATATATTTCAATGCTTATTTGAAAAAAAAAAAACCCTTCAAAAATATGATTTACTCTAAATCACTGTTGCTAAGACAGCTAAAGGTATATGAACAAGGTAGTTGTAAAATATTTCTTTTGTTCTCTGAAAACAGCATCCCATGTGAACTTTCCCCTCAATCTGTGAAGTGCTCCGGTCAACCCAAATCTATACTTTTCAGGGAATAAAATTTCAAGTGGAAAACACTCCCATCTCTACTTATGGTATTTTGACCATATCATGAAGTTCTTTCGTGCGATCTTTGCTTGTAAAGACTTGTCAGGGCCATTAGATTATAAATTATAGCCCAACATAGACACAGGGTCTGGATAATTGTAACCATTTATTCTCTGCCCTCCAATTTCCAGCTTGGGATGCTTTCCCTTGAGTCTTAGAACAGTACTGTGTTTTCAACCAGTGGAAATTAAATCCTTTGATATTGTAAATCAAGGGAAATATAAATGAAATAATTGGGCTGACATAGGAATAACAGATTTAACTATGGATTGCAGTTTCTTCCATTATATTGAGATTCAGATACTAAAGCAAAACTTAAATGCACCTGGATGCACAAAACTCTTGCAAAACACACTTTGTGAACACAGTGATTCCTTGCCATGTCATTTAATTTTCAAATTATGCTTTAATATGAATGGCTTGGCTTGGAAGGGACCTTAAAAGATCATCTATTTCAAACCCCCTGTCACAGAACATACGCCTTGAGCTACTTTAATTTTGCCTTATTCTTTGGGTACTGTTATCTCCATTTTCCTTTCTCCCCCCCTCACACCTAAAAGCATTTACTCAATAGAAGCCTTGCAGAGAATTTTGGACAAAAGTTTAACATTAGATGTAAAGCCAAAATTTCTAATCTCTGAAATGTAATTCAATTACTTGTTTCTTTTAACTGAATGTACCAGTCTCAGAGGAAAGAAAATCTACTTTCTGGAGTCAGATTGTTTTTACTGCTCCTATAAATCAAATAACCATCTGTGTGTTTC